GCGGCGGGGGGAGGGGGGAAGCGATCGCGCGTGTTGTCGTTAATCACGGCCTTGAAGAAACTCTGCAATCATCCGAAGCTCATTTACGACACTGTGCGCGCGGGGGGCGCCGACGCGGCGGGTTTCGCCGATTGCCTCTCCCTCTTCCCACCGGAGATGTTCGCCGGGAGAACGGGCACCTGGACCGGGGGAGGAGGTTTCTGGGTGGACTTGTCCGGTAAAATGGCCGTACTTGCTCGTCTCCTCCACCGTCTGCGCCAGAGCACCGACGACCGAATCGTTCTCGTCTCCAATTACACGCAGACTCTGGATCTGTTCGTTCAGATCTGTCGAGAACGGAACTATCCCTTTCTGCGACTGGACGGGACCACCTCCATCGGCAAACGGCAGAAGCTGGTGCAGCGCTTCAACGATCCGCTGCAGAACGAGTTCGCCTTTCTGCTCAGCAGCAAGGCGGGCGGGTGTGGACTCAATCTCGTCGGGGGCAACCGGCTTGTTCTCTTCGATCCCGATTGGAATCCTGCAAACGACAAGCAAGCCGCGGCTCGCGTCTGGAGAGACGGACAGAAGAAACGCGTGTTCATCTACAGGTTCTTGGCGGCGGGAACCATCGAGGAGAAGATTTACGAGAGACAGATGTCGAAAGAAGGACTGCAGAAGGTAGTCGATAAGCCACAGCAACAGCAGCTACCGTCGGACGACGATGGCAACGGGAGCACCAAGGCGGCGCAAGTGAACGTGAATTCTATGTCATCGGAAGACCTACGAGATCTGTTTACGTTCCGTGGAGCCACCAAGTCGGACATACACGACAGCCTTAACTGCGATCGATGTCCGGCGGATGGGCAAGCGAACGACAACGTAACTGGCGATGACAGCGCCGCCGCTCCAGAAGAAGCTGGCGCGGGAGGGGAAAAAGGAGGAGGAGGAGGAGGAGGAGGAGGAGGCACAACAGAAGAAAAGGAAGACATTGGAGGTTTTGCTGCGGTGGCGGGCTGTTTCGATCGCCTCCGACCTTGGCAGAGGCAGATCGGGACGCCGACAGAGGAAGATTTGAGAAGCTGGGGCCATCACTCCGACTGTGCCCGCACTGTCCCGGACTCTATGATGCAACGCGCGGCCGGGGACGATGTTTCCTTCATCTTCAGTTGTCAGATCGACGGTCAGCTTACGCCGATCGATTCCGTCAAGCCGGGAGCATCGTCGCAAAAAACCGGGTTGGGCAGCGGAGGCAGGGTGATTCTTGGTGTGCGGAACGGTCCCGCTGCTCCGGAGGCGGCTGGGGCTGGAGGCGTGGCATCTTCGCAGAAGAAAGTGCTAGGAGGATTACGCTCGCGAATGCCGCTCCCCTTCTCCAGGCCGCCTCTGGCGACAGGAGGAACAAGGAAGACCTTTCCCCTCGCTCAGCAGCCTTCTGCCAGAGCAGCGCCAGGATCACAGATGAGAGCTTCGGGAAGGGGAATGGACAGAGGAGCACAGGTAACCACTCCTTTCAGGACGAATCTCAGTCCTGCTGCTGCTGCAAGTTTTGCTGTCCCCTCACCGAAACCGACTGCCACAGTGCCTTCTGCTGCGCCAAATCCACCAGAACCCTCCTTGGCGAAGAGAGTCGGTGCTCCCGCCGTTCCTGTGCCTCTTGCCAGGTTGAAGAAAGAGCCCATTCAAGAAGGCGGCGGTAGCAATGGCAGCGCTTCTGGCGCTTCCATGTCCGTCACGGATCTTACCGGTGATGGGGGTGGCGGCGACGAGGGGGGTAATCGAGGGGCGAGGAAGCCTTCCCCCGTGAGCGTGAGCCCAGCTGTTGGTGCTAGTCCGAGCGTGAAACCGAAAGCGACGAGAGGGAGGGGCCGCCCGCCTACAAGAAAAGGCGGACAGGGTGTAGCAGGCGTCCGAGGCTTCTCCGACAAGTCTGGCGGCGCCAGAGGCGGGAAGGATCGGAACGCCGGCGGCTCGGGCAAGAAAGGTCCCGCTGGCGGGCGAAAGGGTAGTAAGAATGCCACTAAGAAGAAACGACGCGCCAAGAGCGATGATGACGATGAGGACGAGTGGGAGGATAGCAGTCCCGACGAGGACCTCGATGAAATTGATTGTCTAGATGATAAATCTCATGACGAGAGCGATGGCGATGCTTCTCTCTCCGATGACGACGTCTGTGACGAACGGGCGGCTGAAGTCGGCGGCATGGAAAAGGGCGAAGGGGGTGACAGCTGTCGTGGAAAGAGCGACGAGGAGGAGAGCGTTGGACAAGATGAAGGGATGGAGAGACAGGAGGACTGCGTAGGAGATCTTGACGTGGAGGAACATGCAGGCAAACCGACAATGAGAACAGATGGGACCAAGCGTAAACGTTCTTCTTCTACTTCTTCCTCTTCCGATGATTCTCTACCTGATGAACTTCATGAGATTGATTCCGAGAATAAGAAGGGGGATGGCGTGCGGGTTCTGGGGACACCCGGCTCGATGAAGTTGAGAGTGGTCGGTCTTGGGAACTCAAGGAATGAACCACCGAGTGCAGCTGGAGCTGGAGCTGGAGCTGGAGCTGGAGCTGCGTCTGGGACTGGACTGGCCGATCTGTTGTTTGCGGCCGAATCTCTAGAAGGAGCTGTTGTAAGGGGAGATGTGCCGGCAACCGGCACCAAGCACCGTCGATCACGAAACAAGGCGGGGAATGCTCGTCCAGAGGACTGTGGTGAAAAGAGGAAGCGGAGAGCCGCAGCTCCTCCGCGTCCCCCTCCTCCTCCAACAAGGCCACGTCGTGGCGAGTCTCTTGGTCGAAGGCCCAAATACGATGACTCCGGTGACGACTTCGCTGATCGTGGCGGCGAGGGTGATGATGACGACGACGATGATTTCATGTGAACCCCCCCTCGCCTCTTGCAGAAGCAGCTACTTACTGCTGGCTGCTTGCTGCATCGTAATTGCAACGAAGACAGCGGTTTTGCTCTGACTGGAGCAGAGGGAGGAGGGACGTAAGGTGGGGAAGAAGGTTGATGAAAAGGAGTTGGACGTGTTTATTTTTTGCCAAAGAACGCTTTTTGTGAATATAATAAGAAAATAGCAATATGTAAATTTGCTGGGCCGGGGAGCTTGCCTGGTGGGGGCCGGGAATCTGACCCGGAGAGCGAGGGAAGTTAGCAGCGACGGTAGGCGGTAGCTTTTTGTAGGCTCTGTTTTATGATAGATGGGTAGGCTGGTTTTGATTGGTTGGAGGGACGTTGATGACATTATTACTTGTTCCCTTTTGTCATGATCATGCGAACGCTCGCTCGTCGTATGATGCCGGGAGAGCATATATGATGCAGGGACACAGATGGCCCGGCAGAGCTGTGGGGTGGTGTACAGGAGGAGAAGTAGGACCTCGCCATTCAGTAGTTGCGAGTTTGCTCTTTTTGGGTCAGTGTATCGGCGGGAGGAAGAGAGCAAGACGAGGAAGGAGAAGCGGCGGAGGGAGGAGGGGGGGGGAGGGGGGGAAGATGTATTGTTGCCGTTGAAAGCTAGACCGGGTGAAATGGGATAGACGAGCGTATGCGATAGGAGGACAGGAGGACGAAGTGGCGGGGCAGGAGACTAACATCTTTCGTTGCCGTTGAAATGTGAAAAACGGACGAGATGAGGGAGAAAGGATAGATCGTTCGTGAAGGGCTGGTTTTCCGATGACACTGGCTTTGAAGAGAAATGGCATGAAGGCAGATAGGAGAAGAGCTACACGCTTGCAGTCGAAGGGGCAGGGTGGAGACAAGAAAGAGTAGGACGGGAGGAAGAACCGTCCCGTACACCTGCCATGCTCTCAAAACCCTTCCCCTCTCTCCACAGAGTCTCTGGGAGACGGTTCTGAGGCCAATGTAGGCGTTGGGCACCACAGTTTAATATGGCCGTCTCACTTATCCACCACAGAGTACGGTTTTCCAAGTATGCTCGCGACTGCTCCAGGACACAGAAGCTGACGAAGGCTGACACGGGTGAGCGGGAAACGAGAGCCTCGCGACCAGCTTCGCCTCGGCCGTCATTGTCCTCAATGGCATCCACAGCATACTACCGGTAGCCGCTACCTGCTGTGAAGGTAAGGACCAAGTTGTCACTCGAACCGAGCGTGTGCGTGTATGTTCGTGCGTGCATGTGTGAGGGTGTGTTTGTTGTCATCTTCGCTAACAACTCAACTCCACAAAGAAAGCATGCATGACTCTGTGTGTGTGTGTGTGTGTGTGTGTGTGTGTGTGTGTGTGTGTGTGTGTGTGTGTGTGTGTNGAGAGAGAGAGAGAGAGAGAGAGAGAGAGAGAGAGAGAGAGAGAGAGAGAGAGAGAGAGAAGAAGAAGAAGCGGCGATGCACAGCTGAAAGATAGTCTGTGCTGAATTGACGCCTGCTTATCGTTCGTTAATAAGCGCCCCGTGTTCTGAGTACGGGTTCGCGCTGCTTATCGTGCGTGGATTTAGAGCACACACAACCAGTCCCCCTCTGTCCCCCGCTGCGTTTCAAGTATGCACTCATACGTGGAATGGCATCATAGCTCTGGCATCGCCGGTAGTAGTATCGGGGGGAGAGAGAGAGAGAGAGAGAGAGAGAGAGAGAGAGAGAGAGAGAGAGAGAGAGAGAGAGAGGTCCTGTTGACGAGGTATGTTACATGGCACCTGCAATTCCAACTTTGATGGAATCCCAAAGATGGCCGCTTTTCTGCTTTTGGAGGGTGCATTGTACAATAAAATGAACTTGTCCGAGTTTTTGGCAATGTACAGTTGTCTCTGCAGGGCCCTATGCTGCCGATGGTGTGTTGGATTGCATGAGTTCAATCCTCAACACGTCCAAGTTTTAGATTTGGCATCTGGCTGGTGGATACCTGCAAGCGGTTGACAACAGTAGTTTGTCTCATGCCCAGCTCAAGTGGTGTACTATTCTTCTTACTGTATGTATCTATTTATGTCTTCTTTCATTTTTCTCTTTCTTTTCTCCGTTTTCCTTTCTCTGCTCTAAGCTGGCTAAAGTTTGACGAGTGTCCTCAATTTACTACTTTGGAAATAAAGCTACTCTGTTTGGTATTGAAAAAAAAAAAAAGGTTAATGAGTGCTGCTTTTTTCTCCCGTTTTCGTATTAAGGAAATGTGGCCCATTTCTCGATTTATGTGTGTCATCCTTGCGCAGGGGCCATGCAAATCTTCTCTGTATGGTTCCAATTTTAACGGCTGTCCCGAAGGATGAGTGCTTCGTTCTTCACTTGCTGACATTGTTTTTCACTATCTTCTCATACGGAGACCACCCTTTGCAGAAGATCTGTCTTCGTTCATGATTACACTGTCCTTCTGAGATCTTGCAGCGGCTTGTAACCAGGGTTCCATCTTCTCCTAACTCCCCTCATCCAAATATAGCGCAGTACTTGGGTTAGCGTGTGCAACTGATGGGGAACTGCTCTGTATGCAGACATTGTGACCCATTTTTGAACTCCGGGAAGACACCGTTGCACCGTTCCTTGTACCTCTTCTTGTTTTCTTTTTTCCCTCCTCTTTGATGGCTCCAATCTTATTGGTGGAGAGAAATCGGGTCCAGCGTCCCATGAACATGTAATGTAATTTCTGGCAAGACAATACAGATCCACACTTGTGCCCATTCACGAAGCTGGCCTTCCTCCACACACTTGTAGCCAGCCATTCACCAATCAATTGACAAACTTTATTGATTTTCTGCTCGGTTGATTGATTGAAAAGAAGCCTAAATGAAACTAAAAAGAAAAAGGTATCTCTTCTCTCCCCGCCAAGCTTGCCTCTCCTCGGCCCCAACTCGCCCCGCCTAGCTCTTGTCCACTCTCGTCCTGCAGGTGGAGGGAAGCGGAGAGGAGGGAAGTGGACGGAAGGGGAGTGGAGGCGGGTGGAGGTCGGGGGGGGGAGGGGAGGGACAAGCGTTCTTTTGTGTGGTTCTTTTTTTTTTAATCGATCAATCAATTGATCGGCAAATCAATCTAGATAGCAGTCGTTGGC